GCTGCTAAATGCCTTCTAACAGACACAGCAGGTGTGTGGAGAACTTGCTCTGTTTGCACAAGAAACTTTTTAGTTCCCATGAAAATGTATAAGTATGGGGGCTGTATGTTTTCTTGTACACACATCGTCATGGTGTAGCTCAGTGATGGTGGCAGAATAATAATGTATTTGAGTGTTAAAAGAAAAGCGTCAACATTTCTAGGAAGATAGATGGGCTTAAGTAGAGGGAAATCTTCATAAAGTTGTCTGTTATGGGAATCCTCACTAGTCCTGTTAAAATCAAAATCTGGTGCAGATCAAAGAAACAAACTCTGGCCCACCTAAACGCATACATAGGTCTCTGTTCACTTCAAGGGAACCAAATGCAGGAAGCAGGCTGCAACACAGGGAACTGTGGTCAAAAACAATCTAAACAAACAAATTTGTAGGAAATATGCTTGAAGAAAATGGCTCATGGTCAGAGAGGAAGGGTGGGCGAATTAAAAGCTTTTGATAGGATGTGACATATAAGTATAATACAGCTGTGGCTAAGTGATCACAAGAACAACTAGGTATAAAGTTAAAAATGAACATCAAACAAAATATAAAGGTCTACTTAGGTCTCCAGGTTTAACTAAAATGTGAAATCAAAGGAAAATAATCATAATCACTCAAAAGTCGGTGCAGTACTTCCATGTTAACTGTTCCACTGTTTTTTGTTTTTATTTTTTTATTTTTGAACAAGGCCAAATAAACACTTTAGCAAATGAAAAAAAAAACTGAAAGTGTAACCAAAAGATTTAGTACAGAAGACTACATACTACATCTAACCGCTATTTTTCTTTTGGAGGCATGCAGTTAATTCTCTCTAGGGTGCACAGTGATGTCCTGCTTTCAAAATAGCCTTCAGATTCCTACAGCATTTCCTCACATCAGAGTGGCACCCTCTATACCTTCCATCTTCATCGATAGCAACAGTAGTTGACCTAATCACATTACCTTTACCACATCTACACTATATACATCAAAAGTTCCCACACAGATTTGTCTTTTTCCTAATAAAAGGTTATTAGGTTTAGATGGAAAGCATTTGATGTCACCTTTGATGTGTTGTTTCAGGACCGCAGGAAAAGAAAACAAGTATTTTTGTTAATTTTTTTATCACTTAGACCAAATTTTATTTGGTTGCATTAGGTGTAACCTTATCACTGGAGAGGAGGTCTTGTTATACTGATACGTTGGACACGATGCTGAAATTGCTTGTTTTACCACCTGAGCCATGTTTTTAAGATTTCCAAAAGTCTGCTTTGACATAACAGTCCTTTACCATTGAACTAGTTTTAAGGTTTAAATAGTCTCCCTGTGCTGTTTTATCTCCTGCGTCTCTCCAGTAACACTTTGCGATCTCAAGACACAGGGGTCGTAGTACATAAGCAAACATCTGGACGAACAAACTGGTCCCAACATAGCTATTTAGGAAATGAGAGGAATCAGTTTTATGGATGTGAAAAAGAGTCCAAAATGGACATAAAGATGTTGTTGCTTTTGAACAACTAGAGTAAATCATCCTTCCTTATCCACAGTCAGTACAACAGCAAGTGCTTAAAAAATCAAGATGCAGCTAAAATCCAAGCTGCTCTCAGGAAGGTTTGGCGGCTGGTGATAAAAAAATTGTCCCTTCTCAGTTTCCCACACAACTAAAACACAACAAACCCATATATTCAATAACATTTAGAATTTGAGTTTGCTTAAATACATTAAAAACTAAGAGATTTTAAAGTAAGAAAATATTCATTCATAAGCAAACGGGATGGTTGCAGATAGGACTGCTATTTTCGTTAATACAGACAGACAATGGGCTAGTATTAAAATTGGCCACCTCTTTGTTAAACAAATATGTTGATCTCTTATTGAGCTTCCTTTTGGATCATAGACTGGATTGGACTTTAAACTGTTTTGTAGACTGTCACATAAAAAGTGTAAAACAAAGATTCTGGCTTTAGCAATGCTTCTGTAACCGGACGTTGTTGCCAGTTTGATGATGTCCTTATTAACCAAATCCATTAGTACAACATGATAGCAACTCACATAGCTCAGGACGCCAATCTTGTGAGAATACTTAAGCAAATAAGTAATCTTTCAAATGGTTTTCTGTTGTGTTTAGGATTTTCACCCCATTGTATTTGTATTTGTGTTTAATAAATACAATAGTAAAAGCTGGATATATTCAATACTCAGAAAATAGAATTTATATGATAAATTGCTTCCTTTACTTTGGAATCTAGACTCCATTTAACCATTCAAAAAATATGAATACATCAAATATGAACTGCATTGCTCTAAAATGACGGTTCAGGAAAACATCCCTGACCCCACTTGTTGACGACTTGTGTTTTTAACCAAATCAAGTCTTTAATCTTTATAACAAAGTACTGATTTTTTTTAATGTTTAGCCTTACTTTGTAATCCTTTTTCTTTCTTTTTTTAATAAAATCCTCATATACTAGTCAAACATGAGCTTAATTATTGATAATTGTTCATTGTTCAACAAATAAAATGAAACTATGAAAACATGAGGATCTCATAGGCTGTTTTCATTAAAAAAATAAATAAATAAAAATACAAGTTCCACACAATGTTGCAAGGTGCTAAACCTAAAGCACTTGTGCCATGTTTCTATCATAACAACTTATGTTAATTTAGCTATCAAAGGCACAACAACAACTGGAGGGCGCTATGTGAAAGAGATTTTCCTTTGACCAGAAGCATCGTATCTTACGCCACAATACCATGTTACAACCCTACAGATGATAGGGCTAAATTATCTGGTAAAAATGAGGATGAACTTCTGCAATTAGAATATTAAACCACTTCTTTTTTAAATGTTTATAAGATTTTTTTGTAACCTTATTAGAAGTTATAAATGTATAAACAATTGTTCTCCTTTTAGTTTCCCAGGTCTTTCAGTTTACCAGTCTGGCACCTCTGAAATTCCACAAACTCTTCGCTGATGTTCATAAAAAGCAAAGACTGGGGCTCTGGTGCGCCTTTTTAATGTAATTTACCTTTTTGACTCCTTGTGAATGCATACCTTTTGTACTTTTACAGGCAGTAGGGTCAGATGGACTCAATCTTTTTTTTTATGCCAGTGCTTGTCTTGTTAATGGAGCCGCCAACCTGCCCTCACCTTCAACCTCACCTGGGCACCTCTGGGCCCGTAAACCTCAAATACAGGAAAGGTGGAATGTGGGTGAAGAGGTCCCGGGAGAGCGTCTTGATAGACTCGCACATCTCATCACTTCTGAGTTTGCTGTATATTTATCTTTCAGTGACGATTTAAAAGGATGCTCCAAACTGTATGTCTGGAAAAAGCCTCAAGGTTTTCAAGGGCTCCTATTTAGAGTTTATGATCTACAAGCCCAAAAGAATTTGCCAGAGTCATATAGATGTTTGCGTCTCTTTAAAGGACATGTAAATCAATTTACTTGACATTGCTGAGTCATTGTAACTAAAACCAGATTTTTTTTTTCCTGTGCAAATCACAAAAACAGGAAATCCATCTCGGATTCACAAAATATAAAAATCTTATTTTTTTAAAACATATTTGCTGTTAAAAGTAACATGAGAAGCTCCCTGATAGTTCCCCTGCTGCCAAAAGTACTTCAACTTCACCCTATTATCTCCCACTCTTCTGGCCCCCTGTTTGGTCCCTGGCTTTTATAGGAGGGTAGAAGAGGGCCATGAGGAAATGAGTTGACCCCTGTGTCACAAGTGGAGTCAAGGGGCTGGAACTGGACCAAGGCCCTAACAACCCCTCTTTTTTAGGGCTGGTTTAGGTCGAAGCGTGAAGAGTAAGGCAAACTGTGGACCGTTGACACGGAGTCTTCTAAACCCTTCAGAACCCTACCTTGACTTCAACTAAGCCAGATTTAACTTTTTTTACAAGCCACAGTGGTCTTAAATCATCGAGGTCTCTTCTCTCTCTCCCATCCCTCTGGTTTCACCACCTCTCATACCTTGAGTCCCTCTCCTCTTCTTCATTTTTAATACGGTGTCAGACATCTATTTATTATGCTGTTTTTACTGGTTTTCAGGAATGGTTACAAGCTCTTGGGATTCCATCATATAGGATATTAGGAACGCCCCTCCAAGATGTCAATTTGTTAGCGATATGAAAGGCCTCTAACCTCACTAAACTTCCCCCATGGCTGAAACCCAGAGCTCTTTATGCTTCCATCAGGCACCCACATGGAGGACGTACTGCTAACCTTGTGACCTGGCAGTTGAAGCCATATAAAGAGGGAATCTTTCTCTTGTACCATTACATCTGACATCTCTCTGGGTCCTTGCAGACTTGCTGTCGTCTGTTATATGTATATGATCCTAAGCTAATTTTTCAATTTTTCTTGCATTTCATCCAATAATTTCGATGATCTGTTTGGTGATGTTTTTGTTATGCCAAAGGTCCAAACATCATAATAATCCACAATCTATTTGGCAATCATTTAAAGAGCATGGTTTAGGATTTGCATATATTTTTCTTTAGTATTTTACAATTTTACACAGATAAGATCATCCTTTAGTAATTAGCTACCTGCATATTTGGCATGCAACAAAAACTCCCACAACCATGTCAACCACATCAATAGTGTACATGTTAAAATAGGCTTACTGGCATTTTAGCTGTTGGCAAGCTTTCCGTGAACGCTCAGTGTTGGGGTGTAGGGTTACTAATTGGATCAGTTGGGTTAAATAAATGTTTGAGTATTCCCCCGTACTAACACAACCTAGGATTTGGAGCCTCTCATCTTTGCAGGAGAGGGGAGGGGTCACATGAAGGCGAGAGGGGAGAAAAATAAAGTGGGAAATGAGCTCATTAATGATAGCATCAAATTTGTTCAGTGTGTTTTACGCTCGTGTGAAACTGCTTCCAGGAAACACAAACATAGGTGAAATTCCAGTTTGAACAAAAACTACTTGTTGGAATATCACAGTTTGAGTAAAAAAAAATGTTTTTGTAGGTTTCAAATCCAGCGTGGAGCGAGTGACCCAACCAGCTACAAGAGTTTGGGAGACTGCTTCCGGACAATTTTCCAGAGAGAAGGGTATGTATTTCACAACCAGGTTTGACATTAGAATGCACAGAAAATGCATATATATGTATATACAGATAAATGTCTATGATGAATTCCCTTTATAGTGCCTTACACTACTTCAATAGTCAGAATCAAAGCTGCATGCTTCTTTTGGGCTTCCTGAAGACTTTTTTGTTTATTGTTCTTATAAAAATATTTTTTGGGGTCAGTTTGGATGAAAAAAACATTTCATTTCTTGTCAAAGGTTCACAGGTAGCTTAAATCCCCATTTACAATACACTATTGAAACCGTGCAGAGAAAGGTCCGAGCACAGTAACTAACTGTTTAGTGTAAAGTGAACTTAACTGAACTGGACAGCAGTGATAGGACTAACGGCGTTCAAAGTAACGCCGTTACCTTGTTTTAGTAACGAGTAATCTAACTAATTACCTTGACTGTAACTATAACGCAATTACCATTGCAGACACCCCGTTACTGCGCGTTACTCAGGTCGCACAATTAACCTTTTTTTCATGATAGGACTCGTGCACGCCTTGTCATGAGAGAGCGGAGGATGAGATTGGCTGATGTATAGTGAGATTCCGTCTGTCAGTTGGGTAGGTGGGTGTTTCTGCTGGCGGGTGTTAACGTACAGCACACACAGAGAGATGGAGAGTGAGGAGGATCCAGCAGCAAAACAGCGTTTTCCACATGGAAATACCAGTGTTATGTCGAGCTGCGTTTCCCCTTCACATACGGTTTCCCCTGCATCTCCGCACAGCGCAGGCGGCACGATTCACCGCGCAAGCGACAGGAAACGCACATGCTCGCTAAAGGCGCGCAAAAGTCGCCCTGTGCTCGCGCCACAGGAGAACTATGGAGAGCGTGAACGATCAAATGATAGCCTATATAAAGAAAGGGAGAAAGATGGATGGATGGATGGATGGATGGATGGATGGATGGATGGATGGATGGATGGATGGATGGATACTCTGCCTTTTCAACCTACTGTATTTTTTATTTTAAACATTATTTGATGGCCTTTGTGGCAGAGATGGAGATCCATATTTTATGTCACACACAGAGTATACATCTAGATAGATAGATAGATAGATAGATAGATGAATAGATAGATGTTGCAGTATCTATAACAACCCAAACACACAGGATTTCAGAATTAGACATCCCCAGTTATTAATTTCGTTAACTCACCAGATCTGAATGCCCTGTTAAAAAACTTCACATAGCGTTCCCCCCTGATGTCATTTACGTTGAGTTGCAATAAATGCAAAACTCTCTGCAGGTTCTTGTCTTTGTCATCCATTCTATTCAGCTGGCTTTAGAAACACACGGCGAGAAGGTGGGGGCTGGGTGGTGAGGGTTACGGGGGCGAGAAACGCAAAAGTAACGCAATAGTTACTTTTACTAGTAACTAGTTACTTTTATTGTGAAGTAACTCAGTTAGTAACTCAGTTACTTTTTGGGAGAAGTAACTAGTAACTATAACTAATTACTTTTTCAAAGTAACGTGCCCAACACTGCTGGACAGTGCCAGACACAACAGAGCCGTGCTAAAACTAGTACTAGTTCAACAGTAGGGCTCAGCACGGTTCAGTTGTGGTTCAGTTCTCTGATAACAAAAGCTCTATTTACACTACCCTCTGAAACCGTTTCGTGCCGACTTCAGTCCAAGCTTGGATCAGTTAACCGTGCCGAGCTTGGTTCCTTACGACCGTTTAAACATCACGCTAGCACGGTTCCTCGCCTCCTAGTGACAATCTGTAGTACCACTGCTCTCTAGGATTGAAGGAGGGATTCAAGCAAATCAAAATGGCGGTGCCCATAACATTTAGGAAGTTATATTTCTTTATAATTGTGATATTTCGTTATTTGCGGAGAGTCAGGCAAAAATGGCAGCCTTAAGTGAATTTACTTGACAGAGTCGGCTTTTGGGAAGTTGATACAATAAATTATAGTTTAATCAGGGCTTACAGACACAGGAAACAATGACAAACGTTGAGGTTCATCACACAGCTAAGCAAAATCATCACTGGAAATTGTGTGGCTTGGTAGGAAAGCTAGTATTTTTATGATTATTTGACTCTAAGGAGACATTAGTCTGCTCGTGAGCTCCTTGAGAACCGAGCCTGAACTGAGTAACGTCCAGCTCTACTTATGAAATAGTACTAAATTTAGCATGGTTCAGTTGTGTCTGGCATGGTTTGGCTCAGTTTGCGTACCATTTACACTCAACAGTTATCTTTGTTATGGAGCTCTGACCGCTCTTGGCACGGTTTCAAAAGGGTAGTGTAAATGGGGCAAAAGAGCACATGAGCAGACCGTGTCATCTCCTTTTTAGAGTTTTCTGGCGTTTCCAGCTTTGTAATTCACAGATCTCTTCATCTGTTCACAACACCAACTAGTTCTCAGCTTATAACAATAATTGACATCAAAACAATGTGGTGTGACCTGGGATGATGCAGAGATTGAGGCTCTGATTTAAATTTGGGAGCAGGACGTTATGTTTCTGAATGTTATGAGCGTCGCCATTTTTGTTTGCGTAGTTCCCACCTTGATAGCTGTAGTATTGTGGACCGTAGGTATGAGGCGGGGAACCGTGCTAGCATGACGTGGAAATAGTCGTAAAAACCAAGCTCGGTATGGTTACCTGATCCAAGCTCAGTCCCAGCTCGGCACGGATCAGTTTCAGAGGGGTAATGTAAATGGGGCATAAGTCTTTTACTGTGCTACACTTAGTGCCCAAATCCAAAGCAACTATATTGCCAGTGTTAGACGAATCCCTTATCCAACACCCCTAAATCTGCAGAGCTGAAGAACTGGACTCTGGCACAACTGGTGTTTATTATTCCATTGAAGCTCTGGTTGTGTGTTTTAGACCATTGTCCTGCTCAAAGTCAAACTTTGGCCATATATTGTCATGTTAAGGCTGAAATCACAAGCTAGTGGGCCCTTTAAGTTTGATTACAAAATTTTTTTCAAAGGTTAAAACCTTTTTGTCTGTTCTTTCCCTTTAATTGGTTCTCGACTCTTAAACATGGTCCTATGCTAGTACCTAAACATTCAGTGGTTTGCGCCAGAGGAGAGAAAACTAACTACTGACAGAGATCCCGCTGTGCTCCGTCCTGCTCTGCCTGCCTCATGACAGCTCTGTGAGACAGTGCAGGTGTAAGAGAGAGTGTTTGCCACTTGCTCTGTTTACGGCGAGTCGACAGCTTTACTGCGGATATAAAGTTGATCTGCAGAGAGGTGTAAGCAGACATGCGGTGAAAGGGCGGTTAGTGACAGTTGATAATCTTCAGTTGGCTGGGGTTCATCAAACATGGCTACCCTGCTGGAGTAGTCGCTATCAGTTTGATATTTAATATATTTGCTACTGAATCTTTTTTAAATTGGCTACTGGGGAAGCTGGCCCATGTGAATTTCCAGAGCTCTGTGACGCCATAAAACACATGCCGAACTAAGCCATATCCGTAAGATGAGCTAGGAAAGTAACCTGACTTAAGGTTTACCCAGCAAACTACTGGCATGTGTTGAAGGAGTTAAAAGACAGTAGATCCTCTTTCCTTTCTGGTAAATCCTCATTTGCATTATATTTTAGTTCAGTCTGCTTTCCAGTAGCACCTTGTGGATCACCTCCAGGCCAAACCACTTAGTTATAATTATACAAATGGTATGATAGGCCCCACTATTGTAGGGTTATTATTAAAAATAAACATTTCAGGCCAGCTTATGGCAGCACTCAGCTAACACCAGACCCCCCTCTCTCTCTGAGTTGATGAAATAGGAAATCTGAGCTTTTAGCTTAAGCTATGCATTTAAATTGAACAAAGCCTGAAAGATTAAACACGAAAAGCAGGCATATAAAAGTTGGTTTTCTAAATTGTAAAACATATTAGAAACTCAAATCTGGGAGTGAAAGGAGAACAAACATATTCTCTAGGATGTATTTTTATTTCCTTATTCATGAAATTCCCTAATGTTTACTTAAAGTTACTGCAGAATAAGTATAATAAAAAAAAAACAATTAATGGAGCAGGTTATTATTTTATTTTATTTGTTTTGATATTTTTATTATGTAGTAGCTGTCAGAAGTGCATTGGCAATAGAAGTAGGCATGCCCAGTGTGGCATTCCAATGGTATAATAACGGTTAGAAAATAAAACTGATTCACAGGAGTAACAGAAAGATTTTTAAGTACAACCAAAAGCCTCCTCTACTTGCTGCTGCTGCTTTAAGCTGGGTAATGCATAATATGTCCACAATGTCAGTTCAGCCATGTGGCAAAATAACACCATTTCAGCAGCCAGCCGTCTCATTGGGACTTCTGCACAACTCACATCTTACCTTGGAGGATTAGCAAAGTCCTAGACAGTTCCATTGAAGAACATTACCAACAAGCAAGAGCTCCTACTTGCAAAGGTTCACAAATACGAACGTCTTTAGAGACCTTAGGAGGTAACCTATACTGTAAATATAACTGTGACCAACAGATTGTGATCAACATTTGTAAAAAAATGACTGACTTTTGGATGACATTAGGCATCAAATATATTGGATTTTTTTGTTTCTATATGCAGTATGGTGTCCTATGCTTGCTGTCTCTGCCATAAACTTCCCCCTAAAGACTGTCAGAGTATTAGGTACAGTGGAGAAAAGCCACAAAGAGTAAAAATGCTGCAGATTTAAATTTCTGTGCAGAACATATAAGCATAAACACAAGTAGCACAAAGAATCCCCAAAAGAACTGCAGCATAACTTTGTGAAATAACTTAAATAATAATACCATCTATGGTAGTCAATGGTTGGTGTTAAATAGACGTTAATTTCTTTATTTCCTTTATTTTCCTTTAAGTTTAAATCCAGATTTAGATTACTTAATTGGCAAATATTACACTTTTATAAATTTTTCACATTTATTAAAGCAACTTATGGTGTTTTTCTCATTTATTTACTGTCTGATTTATAAAAAAGGGATTTAGCATGAGTCATATAAAATTATGTTTCAAAG